TTTTGGAAACACAGTTGAATTCAAGTAAACATATTTGCGAACATGGATGACTGAGTCAAAAAGAGAGATGTACCTTGCACCATACATTGATAGGTATGTGTTACTGATTGTAAAATTTTATGAAGGTTTACTTAATTAATCGACTCAATATTTGTGATTCATGATAGGGTTCATTGGCAACTGATGATCATCATACTAAGACAATACACAATTATATGGTTTTGTTCCCAGCATAGTAAGATGAAACTTGACTTGAAATCCTTGTTACAAACGTAAGCGTTACATTCTTTCATATCACTTCATTATGATATTGATATTAACCTATGTTTCAAATACTGTATCCAAAGGTTGGAACTCATTAATGTTTAAGTTATTAATTTTCGTATGTGAACTTATGACCTGGATATTTGATTATTTTCTTTGTCATTTTTAGTATAACAAATAGTCTGATTCATGGGCTTACGACTACTACGTCATGTCTTTGATCAAAATCATCATTCAAACAGTAATTAGAGATGATTGGACTAATGTAATAATACATATTTTTCACATATTACAAATCACATTCAACTTTAAACATTAAAGTGCAAACATAATGAAGTTATGTTACTTTTGCAGAGGTTCAAAAATCCATCAATAATAATGGAGGCCAATTTAAAGAAGATATAACAAGAGTGGATAACATATCTTCTGGAGCGATGGAGTTAGAACATACATTAGTTTAGTTTTAATACTTTTAGTTTTGATAGCTTTAGTTTTTAATTTTAGTTATGATAACTTTACATTACAATTTTAATTAGTTCATACAAAATTGAAAATATGTTATGGAAATATTCAAATGCTAAAGTGTGATGGTTTTCTGCTTTTAGGTTTGGTAAAATTGTAAAAATAAATAATTGTTTTTTAAAAGAAGCTAGGATTGACGTTATTGCATTAACAGACATTAATTGACATCGACTATGGTAATGCCAATGTTATTTGCCTCCTTTTCCCATCCCCAAAAACTTGCGTTCAATGGTTCAAGTATGTGCTCAACGGACTAGGATGTCAGATCCCCTTGTAGTTGTCATCATAAGACGTTGGATTCCATGGTAGTCAATGTCTTTCAATGTCACTTTTTTCTTCTAAAGTCTTCCGTTATGACGTCGAAGTTTGGTTTGATGTTAAATGTCAAAATAACTGACGTCGAAACACGTTTTTGTAGTAATATGAGCCCAATGATTCAAGGTCTCAGCTTAGAATGTTGTAGACAACAACAAAAAAACACAACAACATCATAACCACAAGTGATATAAGTAAAGGTGTACCTACCACTTTATTTTCTTGCTAATTAACATGAGTTAATATAGATAAAAGCTAAAAATGCTTTCATTATAAATATATGTTTTAAAGCATTATGATATTCTACATACATATACAAAATAAAAAAATAATTTCTACCCACAAATACTTAGTGTAAGTAATTTATACCTACCATATTAGACATAGGTAAGTACCGACAGTAAATTTGTTGGTGATTACTGACAAATTTTGCCATCAATAAATTCGTCGGTAAACATCGCGATCTGGTTCATCTTCTTTCTCTGTTCTCCTTGTTTTTTTTTATCTTTAACAATTCAGAAGAATAAACAAGTTCCAAACAATATCTTCAATCTAATTTTTGGGCTTTGTGCAAGGGAGAAGAACACGAGATTTTGGTTTCACGTTTCTGGATTTTGGGATTTCTTTCCACAAGTTGAATCGTGATTTGCTTCGTGTTTGGGTTTGTTTTGTGTTTCCAGGTGGAATACGAAGCTCTTGCGGTGGTGATGGGTGGCTTGACTCGTGATTATTGACAGATTTTTCAATTAAATAAGCATTATCAACGGATTTATCGAAAAAAATTTTCGTCGGTAATAAATTCGTCGGTAACATTCATTAGTAATTAAAATTTCAAAATCTGTCGATAAAATCTATCCGTAATTTCATCAGTAATTTTAAGAATTTTTGTAGTTCTCTGATGTTCAAGTCAATAAGAGAGTTTGAATATTTATGAATATAGTAGTGAGTATGAGTGACTACCAAGTAAGTATTCCTTGGAGAATACTAGTTGTATTTATAGAATCAACTTGCGTCGTAGACCTCTGTTATCATTGAAATAATACTTACTTCAAATATATAATGACAAAGTAGTTGATAAGAATAAAATGATACCTCATTATAAATAATAACGAAAATACCAAACTGCCGAGATTAGTTATGATATGTGAATATTGCCCTAATATATGTAAGATTGGGCTATTCTAGAACGAAGAGGCTTAATGGACCTTTTTGGTCATGCTCTTTAGAATGCCTGTAGTCTGAAAAGTTTGATTTGACTTATGTGATCGCGTTTGATCTCCTAGTTGGACTTTGGTCGACTTATATAGTTTGCATGTAGATTGGTCATTCAACCAAGCTCGATGTGGTTTGGCTATTCGATCGAGCACGTATGTAGATTGACCATTTGACCGAGCTAGTAGGTAGATGGACCATTTAGCCCGACTCGTAGGTATATTGGCCATTCGACGAAGCTCATAGGTAGATTGGCCATTCGATCGAGCTAGTAGGTAAATTGGCCATTCTGTCGAGCTCGTAGGTAGATTTACCATTCGACAAAGCTCAAAGTGACCTTTTTATTATGGCTTTTGTAGTGACCTTTTTATATTGACCTTACCTCGACTTCTATTTATAGCTTTTGTAGTGACCTTTTTATTATGGCTAGCCTAATTATGGCCTAAACTCCAATAATATTCTTTAAGAATTTAATCATAATGTTTTTTCTGCTTTAAGATGTTTCATCTTGACCGTTCAGTCTTTTTGGTAAAATTGTCCTTTCGTTCGCTAGGTTAATATAGTAAAAATACATTTTGGTTGACTGACGAGTTTACCTTTTGACTAACTTGTTGACCAAACGAGACATACCGTACAATTATTATAAAAATTAATGACTTTATGATAAATCGTCTCCAACGTCTTAGACGGCAGCGGCGGTAGAGGGGGGTGGGGGAGGGGGGTTTGAATGGTAGTTCCCATAGCTTGATCATTTCACTTTGTTGTCTTGTTGCTCAAACAATAATAAATATGTTAATTTTATTGTCTATGTTTTTAATTTGTCTACTGTATTATATACAGTCAAAGACTCTTCAACCTTGTTAACATTGATCTCTTCCTAAGACAACTTAATACATGACAGACCCTGGATGCCACCTGCTTGGAATCAAATGTACCAATCAAGTGTTAAATGCTACCTACTTGATTTATCTTTTAAGGTACAATTATATTCTAAAAATATTTAAATAATTTGGTTTTACCCTTCGGCCAAGACTAATCATCTTGACCTTTGGCCTAGTTGAATTGTGTTGACCATCAGCCCAATTCGTCTCAACCTTCAGCTACGGCGACTCGTCTCAATATTCGACTTAGGTTTAGTCTAAATTTTCAGTCATGACCGACTCAGCTTGATCTTCGACCTAGGCCAAATTGTTAGACCTTTAGCCTATCCCAAATTGACTCAATTTTTGCTTTTCACCCAATTGGCTCAACATTCGCCCTTCGATTAATTGGCTTGACTTTTGGCCTACATCAACTCGTCTTAATATTTAATCTGATCGACTCGTCTCAGCCTTCGACTCGTCTCAGCTTTTGACTCAAACTAACCTATCCTAACCTTTGGCATGTGGCCATCTCGACTTTCAATTTACGCCAACTAATCTTGAACATCAATCCGAACTTAATCAACTCGACTTTCTATTAGGATCAACTTGACTTAGTCTTAAACCCAAGTCAACTCGATCGATCCTTTTGGAGTCAACTTGATTCAATGTGGAATGAAAAAGAAGTAAAATTTCAAATTTTCCTATATTTTTAAAATATTTTAAAAATTTCTATTTTATTCATTTGAAATACCTTCCAAAAGAATTTTAAATTTCAATATCTTTCTAATTATTTTTTTAATTATCAAATTTTAATGCAAAGAATTTTAAATTCTTCAAATAAATAAATTCTAAATTATCTAATGTAAGCACAACGTAGATCGTAAACATATTTGTTTCCTATACTACTTCACTCATCAGCCCCACTTAGTCTTCTACCGAAACTGATAAATAAGAATGATCTTATTGGATCACCTTGCCGAATTCCTCTTCTGCATCAAACTCCTTAATGGAGCTTCCATTAACTAGAAGTGACACACAACTAAAGACAAGACATGATCTTAACCATTCAATCCATTTATCTAGAAACCTCAATCTTCTCGTAATGTGAAGTAGAAAAGTCCAACTTATGGAGTTGTGACCCTTTTCATAATTCACCTTAAATACTAGTTTAAGGCATTGTTTTCTTATCTCATTAACAATCGTGGAATATTATGTAGCATGATCAGTCAAATCTACATCGTCTTTCTTTTGACTTAATACGTGTGCATGGGCTTTCTTCCTATCACCAAATATTCAACATTTTCACACTTTAAATTGTTCTTTTTCTTGCTTCAATTAAAGTTTAGTTGGTTCTTACACCTATCAACCTAAGCTGAACACGAATCAGAGTAAAACTGAATCAAGCATGTGACCCCACCAAACCCAAGATTTTCAATAAAGTTGCTATTCAATCCATACCCACTTACCTAACCCTAAGATTCACATACTCTACAAACCCAATATGGTTGCCACCCTTTCTCCCAGACAACAAAACCTCCAACTATTAATTTTGAAATCCTTCACTTGATACATGTATAAGTGTATATATATATATATATAGATAGATAGATAGATAGCTGACGTTGAGACTTAAAATATTTTGAAATACTAAAAAATAAGAACAACATAAATGTAAATGACTTTTTTAGATGAGAAAAAAAAAAAGTCGATCATAAAAAGCCATAATAATAGCTTAATGTCTTCATACACAACTATTGTTTTAATTATTTTCTAGCAACATAGATTGTTATCATATCATGGAATCATCAATACATATATATAGTAATATAAGTATATATATTGAAAAAGAGAATTTAATAACGACGTAAGAGATGAGTTGGTCTAATGAGCAATCGAAAGAGTAGTAATAATGCATTTAGCCGCTGGCTAATTGGATAGGTAGTTGGCTAATATTATTACATATTCATCACCTGCATTCACCAAAACAACAAAGCATCATTATTCAAGTATAATGATTATGGAGTAATGATGCATATGAAATGTAGAAAATGATAATAGGAGCATACCCAAGATGAAGAATCTTCTTATCTGACTGAGGGTAAACAGATCCACCCTCCATCATGTTTGGATTGAAGAAGTTACGAGAAGCTAATGCCTGAATCGCATTCAGCTCTGGTCCAGAAACCATGTTTACTTGCTGAATCCTCTCAACGTCAGTTATCTATAAATTTTTTATATTCTTTTTTTGTCAGAACATTTTCATCTCTTTCATTAAGACCAAGAGGAAAAAGGAAAAGGAAATTCTATCAACTTTATCTTACCTTAGTCCGAAGACAAAGATTTTCATTTTCCAGTTCAATCTCCTAACCGATAGATAACAATGCATGCTATCAGTTACCAGTCAGATAAATGAAAATATATAATAGCTTCAAATTTTTGCAGATAAAGGTTGAGAAATTAGTTCATGATCAATTACCCTTTTCTGGAAGTATTCTATTTCTGCCAGTAGCATCTCATGCTGTGTAGTTAGAGAAAAAGGGAAAAAAGTATCAAGACATCGTTAGCAAATAGACAAGATTCGATCACTGTATGCATAATAACCACTATGATGCAAGAAAGGAAAATTGCAAAAAAGGTGAGTTTGTATGTTTATGCAGTTTACTTTTATTTATATGGATGTTATAAAACTCTTTAGTTCATCAATAATCTTACTTTCTTAGATCTGATTCTAGTGATTCCTCTTTCAAGTCTATTCTCCAATTGCTTAAGTTCCTTAACAGTCAGTGTGCTTAAAGCATCACCCATCAAGTGCCTGCAAAAGCCATAAGAGAATCAAGCCCCGTATCCATTAGTTTTTCTAAGAAGAATTTAAGAGGAACAAACAACATGGTAATAATAAAAAATCACCTGTTTGAATTTTGCAGCATCTGTATTTGCTGTCTCAGCTTTGCGGATTCTTGTTGATAATACTGTTTTACAATGACAAAGAAGACATTAAGTAGTTTAATAGATTAGTTACCTTAATTCCAACATTAAACTAAACTAATTCAAACTCCTTCCTAAGTTAATTCCTCATCACTGGCTTGCTTCAGAACAGTAGTTCACTTCATGAAGCTGAATCAATTTTTTACTGAACAATAAGCACTTTAACAATAATAGAAAAATAAGAAAGAAAAAAGATAAATGAACTTTTATAGATAGATTGAAAGATAGATAGATATATTGACAGATAATGGTTTCTTCCGAACAAGCCTAAACTAATTAAACTTCATTAACATGTAGTCATATGAACAGTGCGTGAAATTACCTGAGCATTGATTTCAGTGGTAGTGCTAGTACTCGAATGATCTGAACATGCTTTTTTGTATCTCTCAATTGTTGATCTTATGCTGCAATCCCAAACGCCAAAATAACGAAAAAAATCATGTACTATTTTTGTTGAGAGTGCATTTGCATAATACATTATTCTGCCTTCACAAATTCTTGTTATTATTCATTTTCACTTAGTAGTCCCTCTAGGGGTTGGAAGGATTGGATTTCAGATATTTTTAGACCTGATGGTTTTCTCATTCAATTATAATTATATTAAATTCCTTTAATAATCGAAGTTTCTTTCTCAACTTGACGAACTTGGATCACTTATAATCACTTATAATCACATACTAAAATTTAATTATGAACAATATAAGTTAAAAATATATCAATCTGAAAAAATGCAGTTTCAAATATTTTTTTACAAATTCAAATGAATCAATGATACAGTGACACATAACCTATTATAAAAATGTTATTATAGAAAATTGTTAACATACCAAAGTCATTAAAACAATATATACATATGCCACTATAATTTTAAGGACCATAATATAATGCTTAAAATTCCATTTCACAATGTTATTTATATAAACCCTAGCAAAACTTAATGATGAGTGTGCTTGTGGGCATTATCTCTTCAGTGACTCATGTAAAGGATTTCGTGTTGGAACCGAAAACAAGCATACATGATTAGTGTTTTGAAAACATAGTTGTTCTTCTCTAATTTGAATACCACCTCTAATGTAAGTGGAATGATCACGCTCCACTTGATCAGTGTTTTTCTCTTTTTTCTTTTCTGATCTGTTCCTTTTGTTGCAATTTCGTTTGATCCGTACACAGTAATGTCTCACCCTAACGGGAATGACTTCATTGTTTTAGCTATGGTATTCGTAAGAATCACAACTAAACAAAACGTGTATCCTTGAAAACTATAATTTACTAACTAAATATCAAGATCTTAAGCTGTAATAACTTGTTTACTCATATATTTCAAAAGAGAATAGATGAAAAATAAGTTGTAGGGGATAAACGTACAACGAAGTGCAGATGAAACTTGCTTTTTCTTTTGTTGCATTTAGAACTAAACCAGATGAGCGAGAGTGAAAGTAAAAGGTAGAAAATATCTGAAATGACAGAGAGTGTGGATGAAAAGAGAAGATAAAAAAGTGGGTTGTTTTCACTGAAGAAGGCAAAGAAGTTTGAGGAAGCAAATTGGATATCAGAGAAATTTGAAGGGAGCGGAAGTGAAACTTTTTCATTCACTTTTCTCTCTCTATGGATGTATAATACACATGCATGCATGCACAGATTCTCATGTGGTGTATATCACTTAAAAGGAAAGAAATAGAAGGAAGAGGCATTGTGAAGCAGAGGTTGGCTCATTGGGTCTGACTCACTGATACAAACTCAGTGTGTCTTACAATTTTGTTGGCCAGCATAGTAGGTGAGTCCAATTATTCATATAATATAATATAATGCTCACAGCCATTATCATCATCAACATTAATTGTTAAAAACCAAATACTTAATTAATACGGTGCATGAAACATAAATTCGTATAGTAATGGTTTGAAATATGTGATATGCAATTAAATGTTTATGGTGTGTGTGGTATATATACGCTGTAATGAAACAGTGTTATTGGAAATCCTACAAAGTACAGTGTTTCACTGTTTTCATGCAAAGGGAAAAAGGTATAAGAAACCCTAACTAAGGGGTACAATACAACTGAAATCATCACTCTCTGTCACTTCGACATGAACAGAGAAGGAGAAAAGACAACTTATGATATATCCGTAAGTACGAGAAGATATATAACAAAAGTAAGTGTACCGTTACAAGGTCTGCTCTGAGTCTTTGGTTAAGTTACTGAAGTTGCAGGTCCACCTTATCATTAAATCATCACTATACTACACATGGTCGATAACCATTACGCTCTTTAATTTCTTTCTTCGTTTCACACTTTTACAAACAATATTATAATGTGCTGGATTAATTAATTCTCTGACCTGCTTCCAATCAAACCCTTTAATAACCATTTGTTCTTATTTAAATAAAGCATGTTCTCAGTTTCGATTTCATCAAATTTGGAAGAATGTTCATCGTTTTTAGAATGTTCTTTTTCTTTCATTTCCAAAACAAAATCTTTTTATTAAGCTTTTGATTGCAAATAATTACACTGTTCCCAGCACAAAACGATTCACATACCATGCATTAGTATTTGAAAATAATATTTTAATATAATATTTCCAGTTCTTTTTTCTTAAAGAAAAAAAAAAGTAGTCTTGACTATTTTTTTTAAAATTTTTTTATTAAGGGTCACTCAATCCTATATATAACTTTACATACATACATACATATATATATATATATATATATATATATATATATACATATATATATATATATATATATATATATATATATATATGTATGTATTCTAAAGTGATAGAGTTATTTTCACAACACATTACGCAAAATTGATACACAATATGAGGTAAATAAACTAAGCATACCATAATATTTATTGGTTACTAAATAAAATTAATTCAGTAAAGGGAACTAGAATTTGGAAGAAGTATTGCCTGAAAATGAACATTAGCCAAATGGAATAAGGCTACAAAATTAGTAGCTTCTAATTATGATACTAAAAGATAAGTTAAGCTTATAATTAAGTTCTTGGAATTTAGCAATGAGTGCTTTTAATGCATTAGTTAAGGAGCTTAAACAGAATATTAAATACGTTTAATCCTTAACCACCAGTTAGCATAAACCCTAATTAAGTTCCTGGACCTAAATAACTGCTTCCAATTACGGGTGGAAGATGGAACACTAATTTAAAGTTTTTATTTTTTATTTTTTTGCCTATGTTCTAAAAATGTTATATATAGGGGTGTGATTGTTTCACTGTCTCAGATTTTAATTTCGCAGATCTACGCAGTCTGACAATAATAATGGAACTTATTGTAATGTAATGATTAATAAAGCATTTTAGTAAGAGTGTATAAAGATAAATGAAGAGAAAAATGGAAGGTAACTACACTGACTTGTTGTTTGAATACTCATAGAGTCTCCCACGGCTGGAGAAGACAATGAGAGCAACTTCTGCATCGCACAGCACTGATAACTCATAAGCTTTTTTCAGAAGCCCGTTTCTTCTCTTGCAGAACGTTACCTGCCGATTTGTGGTGTTCTCAATCCTTTTGATTTCAATCTTTCCCCTCCCCATATTCTTCAACTCTTCCTTCAAAAAACAAAGTAAAGGAAACAATAAAGTTCAATGCATAAACATATACCAGAAACAAAAACTAGATCTGATGAAATCCATGTTAGATCTTACTTGGACGAAAGTTGAAAATTAAAGAATATGCATATGATATATGAGAGAAGTTGTGTGCTTTATATGATGTGTATGTATATAGGCATGTAGCTAAATAGGGTACATGCTGTTTTAGATTGAGATGAAAATGATGATGAGCAAGATCTAAGATAATGAACAAGATTTGGAGACGGTGCAGTTGTAGCCCCTTTTATGAAAGCGCAGGTTAAGTTATAACACTTTTCCTTCATCGGTCTTTTTGTTTGTATGTATCTATGTATGTGTCAGTGCCTGGTTCCTCTCTTTCTTTTCCTATATATGAAAAGCAACAAAATCCACCCACTCCCTCCAGGGCCAGAAAGAAACCCTTGTGATTTCTCAAGTGGATCTTCTCAACAACAAAGACCAAACAAAAACACCCTTTTGTTTAAACACAACAACCTTGGACAAAGAATATATAAAAGTGAGATGCAGTGTAAGAAAAAGAAGTTGATGAGGAGATGGAAAGAAGAAGATGATGAAGGAAAAAGAGGCGAGGAGTTTAAGGTTTGATGATGGGTTATAATATGAAGAAGAGAATGTAAAAAAAGTAGAGAGGTGGCTAACCTGTGTGTGACTCCGGCAAGTTCAGCTTTCGGAAAAATTTGTAATCCCAAAGAAATCAAACTGCACTATAGACTTTGTTCCACTTCCATCCCTCCTATTTATAGCCCTTTCTTTGTTTGTGTATCTTTGAAAGGAGTGAAAGAGAGAGAGAAAGAGAGAAGATGTGAAGAAGGAAAAAGGACCAGCTAAGCTGGAATGGTTTTTTGCCCAAACCATGCACTCGACATCGATGTTTTAGCTAAACAATGCATCTTTCCAGGTGCAAATTACCACCATAAACAGCAACTTTTCTTTTGCTTTTCCATTCTCATTTTTCAATTTTCCCTAGCTACCTCTCTCACCATCTCTAACTAAATCACGTCGTAAATATCACTTAGGGGCCATTCGGTAAAATCCCCCTCCCACTATCTACATTTTAATTACCATTCAAATTTCGCCTCTTACACGTAAACCTTTCCATTCTCACTGCTGCTTAAAATTGTAGACTTGAAGTTCTGTATCTTTTAGAGATAAGGTTAACGTATACTATATTAAAATTATATACTTAAAGGATAAGGTTAATGTATAATATATGTGTAGGTGTAAATATTATTTTATAAGTCAATTTTATAAAATTAAGTTGGATTTAAAGTTCATGTTTTAGTATTAAAATCAAATTAAAAATTTTATATCAATTAAAGATAAAACCAATTATCTTGATTATACGTCTTTGGTTACTTTTCTCACTCTCCACCACTTTTTCAATATAGTAAAACCTTAGTATATAATATATTTATTTACTTATAATAATTCTTTTATGATATAATAATATTATTTTTAAATATTAACATTAATTGATTGTAAACGTTAAAAGGAGATTATTTTTTACCTGATATATAATATCGGAAAATTTTCTATTAAAAGTTTTCTGGGTTTGACAACTAACAGGCCCGGATCTAGAGAATCTATCGTTTTCAGTCTAATAAATTGTGTAGATGCCAAATGTTCGGAATATAATACAACTTCGAGGGTTAATTTCAAATTTGAGCACATAATATACAAACAATATACACAATGCATAAACTAATATTTTTCGAAGACGATTTTTAATTTTATTTTTGTAAAATTCAAAAAAATTTATTTTTTTTCTAGTAATTTTAACTGTTTATAGTTTTGGTTTCCCGACTTTTTTTTTTACAAAATTGATTATCTAAATTTTATGTGTTCGTAATTTGATTAAATTTTTAGTTCATTTCCTTGTAATTCTTTTATCTTTTAGACATCATAGAAATGATACTTATAGCTTTTCTTGTAAGATTGAAAATGATAATATATAATTGCGGGAGTTGTATTACTATATATAATTTGAGACTGGTTCAATATATTTCTAATGATGAAAATTGAATAAAATTATGAAAAAAAAGTAAAGTTTAAAGGGTTAAATATGTTTTTAGTTCCTAAACTATCAAACAATTTTGGGTTTCGTCCTTCTTTCAAAGTTTTGTTCATTTCCGTTTTCTTATCTTTGAAACTCGTATTTTTAGTCCTTAAAATATAAGGGTGTTAAGTTTTCGGTGAGTGGCAAACGACAAGTTATGTGTGATGCCACCTTTCATGATAATTATGTGACATCACACATGACTCGCCGTTTGTCACCTCACCAAAAACTTAACGTCGTTACATTTTAAGGACTTAAAGTACGAGTTTCAAAAGTAAGAGAACGAAAATGAACAAAACTTTTAAAGAGAAATGAAACCCAAAATTACTTGATAGTTTAGGAACTAAAAAATATTTAACCCAAACTTAAAATATCAAATTGCATAGAAGAAATGTAGGAATCAAAGTTATATTCAATTAAAAATGAAGAATTAAGATTACAGAAAAACAATTTTAAGAACCGGCATTATCAATTCTATAAAATATTAATTAGCTATAGAAAAACAACTTTCAAGTAATAAGTCTGCCTTTTATTTTTAAGAATAATTAATTAGCTATATATTATATAAAGATTGATCCAATATATAAATAAGTTAGAAAAAATGGAATATATTTACAAGAAAAAATGGAATATATTTACAAGAAAAAATAAAATAAAAATGCAAAAGGGATATAATTTATTATTATTATTATTATTATTTTATTTATTTATTCATTTACTTCATTCATTCAATATGAAACCAATGCATATTACTAATAAAGTTGGCATTCCCCTCTGTATTAATTTTGAAATCCCATTTTTTTGTTTTTTCTTCTTATAGGCAAAAGACGACAAATAGATAATTATATATAAGGGTATCAATCCATATCAAGACACATGTTTACAAACTTTTATGTGTAGCTAATTTTTCTTTTATCAATATGCAATATATATATATATATATATTTATTTATATTAACTATTAAAAACAATGAATATTATTTATTTGCATCAATTTTTTACTAACTCGCATTTACCAATATTTTTTTTTAAATTCTTTTCCTGTGAAATCGTGATGGTGTTGTAAAAATTGGGTTTTAGGGCCCTTATAGACAAAGAGATAATCCTGTATTAGTTGAATTTTATAATAATAATTATTATTATTTCAACTTTACTATTCATGTCGGCCGTAGCTTACTGTAATTGATTGATAACAGAGTTTATACTGACAATGCATAACTGTTAGGCACTAAAAAAGTGAAACTCTCCAAATGTAAATACATTTATCATAAAATTACAAATTATCCTGTGGAGTAAGTTGGTTGACTTTTGCTGTAATTATATTGAAAAGTTTATTTGTAATCAGCCATATGGAAACACTATTAAACTTAATTATAATAATATGCTTGAAAATATAACTGTATTTTTTTTCTTGCAAAGGTTAGTAAAAGTGACTAGACTCACCAGATACAAATAATTGTATTTTTTTTTTAAAATTGTTAGATCATTTTAACTTTTATCTTGGATCAAATAATTCTAACATAATCTGGAATAAATTGCATTTTTAGAAAATAAAATAGATTTTTAAAACTCACTTAATTGAACAACGGTGTCCAACTTACCGGCTACAAGTTTTAGTGAACGTTTTCAAAGGTTTAAAACTTGTTGCTTTTGATATAAAATATGCTTTTTTTTTTTATGTAGACTTTTATTGTTTTTTTTAATCTTTGGTATTTTCAAATATCACAATTTTTATTTTTAAAAGGTAAATGTATTTTGAATAATTTTCTCCAAGTATAAATCATATATTGACTTAAAAATAAGACTATTATATTTATCTACCATCCCCTTATACGAGTTTTACTTATGATAAGGTTATATATTTTAAAATAATTAATATATAACTAATATATATATATATATATATATATATATATATAATTAACAAATATAGAGTCTAAAACTAATTAACACCCAGAAAATAGAAAAAAAAATACAATAATTAGTTTTAGGTTTAATGTCTTCGGAGGTCCTATTTCTACAGATTTGTATTAATTGGGTCTCCGTATTTTGAAAGAGCTCAATTGGGTCCCATTTTATGTAAAATTGAATCAATAAAATCTCTGTCGTTAAATTTTGTGGACGACGTTAAAAATGTTGCCTGGTGGCTAGGTGAGGTGGCATCTCATAAGCACGTGGCACATAAAGAGGTCCACATAATGACCAGATGGACGTGGCCAATGAGGCCTTGCCACGTGTCAGCCCCTTCCTCACCCAAAATTAGGGTTTTAGATTGGAGGGAAAGGGGAAGGCTTCTTGTGCCGTGAGCTGCTTTCAAGGAAGGATGAAGGATCGCGATTGAGATTCTGGCTTGAAGGAAGTTGACCCTATGATTTGATACACTGTTTCTGCGTTTGATTTGCAAGTAATGGAGAATGAAAGAACTCACGAGTTTCGTTTCTGGTGCGTCAATGGAGAAGACGAAGATATGTGGGTCGTTCTTGGGTTAATCTGCAGGCGATTCGCGCGATTGGAGCTGCGCGAGGTGGAAGAAGACGTTCGCAATCTGCAACGGCAACATTTAGGGTGTGGTCGGATCTTGGTTTTCTGCAGATCTGTTTGTGGTTTTCTAGTTATTGATGGTGAAGAAGATGATCTCGTCGCTGTAGATGGTGCGACGGCGGTGACGACGCTTGAAGGTTATTGGCTTCTGGTTTGGTTGCAGGTCTGATTGTGGTTGCAAGTGGAGGCAAGCAGCAGCGCGGTTAGTGGTGGAGAAGAGTGGCGATTCGCGATCTGCAGAATCGGCGTATGGTGGACGATTCTGTGGTGGAGATTGGACGGTAGTGCTGCTTGCACGACCGTGATGAAGGTGCAACAGAAGGGAGAAGACGCTTTCGTGGTGGCGCGTGATGCGTTGGAGAGGACGATTGCCGACGAGGATGGCAGTGACGGTGCTGGATGGTGTGGCGACTAGGGTTTCTTAGAGAGAAATTAGGGTTTGTCTAGAGATGATGATGACGACGTGTCAGGGTGGTGATGTGGCAGTGACTTTTTTAAACTTTTTTTAAATTAAAAAATCATTTAAGTCCACCTATTTGCCACGTGCTTATGAGATGTCACCTCACTTAGCCACCAGACAACATTTTTAACACCATCCACAGAATTTAACGGCAGGGGTTTTATTGATTCAATTTTACATAAAAAGAGACCCAATTGAACTCTTTTAGAAATCGGAGACCGAATTGATACAAATTTACATAAATAGAAACCTTCGAATACATTAAACCTTAGTTTTAATATGTTGTTATATAACGTAAATTAATTAGTTAAAAGATATTGAGTTTTCATAGATAAATGTTTTAATAAATTTGCGTACACTTTAAAGGATAAACATTCCTTTAAAACTACATTTCAAATTTAAAATTTGTATTTTAAATAAATAATGTATAAAATGATTTTTTTTAACACATAATATAACAATATAATACTAATAAAATAAGTAGATATAAATAAACACTAGTTTAATATATTGTAGACACACAATACAACCAAAACTCTAATTAATATATATATATATTATATATATATCTTATATCTATATATCTATATATATATATAGATATATATATATATATATATATAATTATATAAATATATAAGATGATCTTGTAAACTTTTCAATAATATATTAGCGAAAATCATCTCAA